AGAACAAGATAGACAGGGGAACACTGAGACAGATGTGCATGGCCTAGTGGGACAGAGATTAAATAGTGATGCATGCTCAACCTTGGAACAACAGGGCTCTGGGATACAGGGATCTAGGTAGAGCTTGAAGAGGAGCAATAATACTAAAATCCTTGACTGCCTTATGAATATTAGTTTCCCTTGCCTACTACTGTAAAATAGACACTTGAGTGGGATAGAAAGGAATGTTGGGAAACATGATTACAGAAAACTTGTTAAGCCCAGCTTCAGCCTATAACTGAATGGAATGCCTAAAAGGGGTTCTAGAACTTGCCCAGTGAAATAGGCATCTTGCAAAGCCTTTACAGAGTATAAGGCCTTAGGTGGAATCCTGAGTCCCATCCAGAACCTTATGAGGTGGGACATTCCCACTAGAAAGGACAAGCAGACCAGCCTGGAACAGCTACAGTGACAGAAGATACATCTTCAAAGAAAGATCATCAGGAAAAACCCAAAACAAAAACGTCAGCATGATTGGCTATAAGAATAAGCAAGGTGTTCGCCAGGAAGACATCAAGGCTAGCAATCAAGTGCCTTCAGGACAAACTCCCCTCTAAGACTGAAACTCAAAGGGAAACACACAAAGAAGCATGTAAGCTTGCTGGTGACAACATTGGTCTATTGGTGAGTGGAAGAGGGGGAAAGGCAGCAATGAAGAAATTGGCTGAGCTCAACCACAGTCCATTGACTCCCGTTGACCTGGAGATGAGAGAGACAAGAGGAAGGACTGGTTGGTTCTGAGGACACTTGAGCCCATGGAAAAGGACATAGTCACAGAGGGCTAGAGCTTAGAGTGAAACATCCAACTGATATAAAGTGAGGGAAGATGCACAAGAACACCCAAACTTGCATACAGTACCCTTTTGACCTAGTCTCGATGGCTTGATAATCTGAACTCGACTAGAAGTAGATGACCAAAAAAAATTTTTTTAATAAAGGAAACAAGAGTAAATTGCTACAATTTGATGAACCTGACCTATACTCAGAGAGGTAGTTACTCTAAATACTGACAGAGAGGGAAAGAGTGTTCACATCAAGTATCAATGCTATCCCCTCTGTACACAGGGTAGATAAGGACAGGCAACTTAGACATTGGCTACCTAAAATGAGGGGGTGATAAACGAACATAATGACTGGCTTACAAGGTTTCAAGAGGGAGTTTAAGAGTATGGAGTGAAAGAAAGAGTCTCCACTGAATAGCTGTCATCTTGTCTAGATGGGTCTGATGAAAAGAGATGGGATAAGAAAGATTCTTATGATTCAATAGTGAGTAACTTATCATGACTAATTGCGACTGTCACAATTGTAAAGGTAGAAGTTCTGTAACAAAAACGGGAGTGGTTAATCTTACAGTCCAGAAATAGGACCATCAAGAGACACGTGCGCAAAAATTTAGGACCTTATCCAGAGAAGCAGCGGCGCCAGAGATGGAGGCAGAGATGGGGCATGGAGAGGGGAAGTAACTGAGGACTCTAGATTCATGGACTAAGAAGAGAGGGACTAAGAGCTGGTGGCCAGGAGCAGACTTGCAGAATGTGCCCTTTGGAGATGTAAATTATTATATATGCCTGAGTGGTTTGTTTGTTAGTTTTTAAAAAAGCTATAAAGTGGACAGAGAGAAATACTGTTAACTGATGGTACATGGAGGGGATTATAATCATTGCAATGAAACAAGGTATATGATTTGTTGAATGTAAAACTGATGATAATACCCTGTAGGCTTTCTCTCAATCCACAATAAAAACCTTAAAAAAAAAAAAAGCTAAGAATTACAGAACGTGTAGACTGGAAGAAGCCCTAAGACACCCTCTTTTAACTTAAAAGGGAAATCACTCCCATAGGTCACCTTTCAGACAAACAACAGACTAGATTATAAAATAAACAGTATCACCCATGGGTAATGTGTCCCTTAAACAATGAACTATATGAGACTAAACCATCAACATTTACCTAAAAGCAAAAACAAGAAGGCAAGGAGGGGAAAGGAAACTAGATCAATGGAAACAGAACCACCAAAATGGAAATAATGAAAATGCTGGCATACTGTAAAACTTTTAACCACTATCATAGAGGAATCTGAATAAAAATTGTTGAATGGGTAAAGAAAAAAGATCTACAGTCTCAAAAATTCTGTACAGGGTTGCTTTGAGTCAGAACTGACTGGATGGCACTCAACAACAAAATTTACTTCACAGACTTGATTTCATCCAGACTTCAAAAAAACCTCTGCAGAAACAACCTTGTTCTCTCTAAACAAATATGGAAATACAAGTTCACTGGGCTGACGTAGCATGCTCAAGATCCCAACCAAAAAGCAGGACAGGCACGATTCAAATCCAAGTCTCACTATGCTTCATTGCCTCCGATGAGAGTAGTGAGTAACTGCACCAGCTTACAAAGAAAACCAAAATATTTCTACAGGTTCTTGCAATAAGAACTGTTTTATTAAAAATACAGGGCTGCACTTATTTAGCACAAAGTACAGTAACATTTCTTCCTCTCCTCTGCCCCACTGGGCATCACTCCAGAACTTCATAGCCATACCAACATGCTTTCAGCAGCAGTCATCACAAGAGGATGAAAGATGTGCATTTCTGAAAATAACTCCACATAAAATGGGAAACAAAAACAATCAGAGATCAGCAGGTCTGCGGACTAGCTCTCTGCCAACAGGCTCTGGTCCTGCTCATTTTCTTTCAACAAGAAAACATTTGGGAATAGGCGCTCCTGAGCATTCAGTTAAGTAATACTGCTTACATCCTCTTCCAGTCTGATGTTTAACTAGCCTATTTGTAACCTTTCTTAGAAATTCCACCCTAGTTTATATTTCTGTCATCCTCCTTTGAACTTTAAAAAAAAAACACAGAATAGTAAGTTTCCAATGGATGTTAATGGAGGCTTTTTATAGATGAAACCTACTTCCTAGAAGTCAATTGACCAAACATATACACAGCTGGAGAAAACAGACTGTGAAAACAGATCAGCTAGGAAATATCTTAGGTCCCAATGAGATCCAGTTATTCTGCATCTGTGGACTTAAAATGCTCATCATCCACAGTGGAATAGATGTGTCCCTCGTTGCTGAGAAAATCCACAGCTAGCCTAGAAAATAAAGAAGAAACATGGGCTCATTTCCGCACCAAAAGTGAAAAAAGAAAATGACTTTTAAAAGTTACCTTTTTGGATATGGCCAAATATGTAAACCTCATGCATCTCTCCTCTTTCTAAAGTGGCCAAGAATTGACAGGAAGAAATATCAACAAAATTGCAAAAGTGTGGTTACTGGTGGAGGCAAGACTATTTAAGACTGCCTTGGAGCTCTTGCTCCATATTGTGTAAAGGCAAGAATATAGAACCTTCATATTACCAGTCTAAACAAGTGAAACAAGAATCTAAAACTTGCATATAAATATCCATTGATATGCAGATGCCTTTCAAAGTTCTTCGCCACTCTACCCCAATGCGCTAGAGTCCTTAGAGATGGTCTTTCCAGAAATGACGGGACAGCTTCAAAATGCTTCAGTAGTACAGTAACACAAGTAACAATTTAAAGACTACCGACTATGTAACCTATCATAAGAGCATCTGAGACAGGAATTAATATCTTCGCTTTACAGGAAAGGATACAGAATTAGACCTGAGCATTTTTTTCCCATCTAAAAAACAGCCCTAGTGGCACACTGGTTAAGTACTCAGCTGTTTCAGCCCACCAGTTGCTCTGTGGGAGAAAGATGCGGCAATCTGCTTCTGTAAAAATTATGTCTTGGGAACCCGATGGGAGCAGTTAGTTCTATCCTGTCCTTCCTATAGGGTTACTGTGAGTTGGAATTGACTTGATGCAATGGGTTTTTAAAATTCCTTTTCTATCTAGGCCTAAAATAGCAACTGATTTACTGTAAACAAATAACTTCCACAAGGCCCATAATAGTCTGTTTAATTAGCTCAGTACCTTGGTAATCAGGAAGCTGCAGTCTAAGAAGGAATTAGGACAGGGATACTGGAAGGTCTGAGAGTCTACTGGCTTTAGGTTAAGATGCATCTATCTCTAAGGAGCTCTGGTAGCGTAGTGGTTATGAGTCGGGTTGCTAATCTCATGGTCAACAGTTTGAAGCCACCAGCAGTTCTGCAGGAGAAAGATGAGGCTTTCTGCTCCCGTAGAGATTTATAGCCTCAGAAAAACCGTATGCAGATTTGCTATGAGTTGGAACTGATTCCACGGCATATAAATACAACCACCACCGCATCTATCTCTACAGTGGGAAGAGTAATGCTAGTGGAGTTGTATCACCTAAAGTCCATGAGCTGAAGACCTCACTGCTCCGAACTAAGTTCCAAAATTATACCTCTAGTACATGATGAACATTCAAATATTTGCACAAACAAATGCAATGAATGCTGGCATAGGGAGCACCATCTTTGAGACTCCTTTTTCTATTTTCTCCATGACTGACCCAATTCCTTTCTGATTACTGGTAAGGTTACAATTAACACTTGTTTGTTCTCAATTCATCATCAGGAAACCAGTGAGGTAAAAGGGGCACAATTCTGAAGCTTGTAAATACTTACAAATACCAAATACTTACTTGATTGAGGATACACTCATGTAGTTGAGTTGAGCCTTGAGATCATTAAAGTTCAATCCTTCAGGTCTTGGGCAAGCTTTAATCAAATTCAGCACCTGAAGAGTCATATTAAACAAAAATTATAACAATTAGGCATAAACAAGCTCCCCTCTGCAAAACAGTTTGTAGGGAAAGAACACGGAGCTGTGTACTCAGATCCTTGACATAATTAAGGAAATACTAAAGTTTAGGACTATGTTGGTTTCACACTTCTGGAATCATTTAGGTGAAGTTTTTACCTGGTTTTGGGCCACAGTAAGGCCATTTGTTGGATTGAAGCTATTCGTACTGAAGTTCCCTGCTTCACTCATTCCTGGATTGCTGAGAGATGCTCTCCCTGCTGGGGGCTGAATTAAAAAATAAGTTCACATTAGAATATGCACTAAGTTAAACCTTTAAAGTGTTACTGAGTTGATTATGACTCATAGTGATCCTGTATAGGGTGTTTCCAAGGAGCAGCTGGACTGCCAACCTTAGCCAGTTCAGGACTCAAGTTAAACAAAGTCTTTGTTGTTTCAAATAGTTTGTTAAAAAGCAGTTTATAAAAAATAATTTAAGCAGAGTTTCCCCAGCAACTATGTCTTTTTTTTTAAAGTTTTTATTGTGAATTGAGTGATAGTTTACATGGGAGAACATTGGCTTTACATTCATCCTAATGTATTTCGTTTCATTACAATGATTACAATCCCCTCCATGCATCACCATTCAACAGCATTTGCTTCCATTCCCTCTGTGTTTTTTTTTGTACACCGAAGCACTCAGGAATATACAACCATTCAAATAACCAAAGGGCACATCTCACAAGCTTGCCCCCCGGCCATCAGCTCCATCCCTGAGTTCAAAGTCTCCAGCCACTCCATCTTTCCACATCTCTGCCTCCATCTCTGACTTCTCTTGGATAGGGCCCTGCACTCTGCTCCTCTCCCTTGATGGTCCCAGGGTCCACTGCTCCTGGACTGCAAGATCAACCATTCCTCTCCTTTTGTTACAAAACATCTACCTTTACATTTGCAACACTCACAGTCAGTCCTGACAGCAATTATTCACTATGGAATCACAAGAGTCTTATTCCCATCTCCTTTATCAGTCCTGCCCAAACAGGTTGTAACCCCTCAGTGGAAAGTCTACCTTCCCCAGCACCCTCTGGAACTAGGTTCCCTCTTGAAAGCTCGTAAGCCAGTCACTTCTTGCCTTTGTAGCACCCTCCCCCACCCACCTTTTGGGTAGCCAATGTCTAAGTTGCCCATCTCTGTCAATCCTGTGTACTGAGTGGGAATGATCCTTGCTGTAAAGATTCATTCCTTCTTTTAAACTACTACATCCACAAGTTCATCAAATTGTAGCGGATTCTTCTTTCCTCCTCTAGTCGAGTTCTAATGATCCAGCCATTGTAGCCAGGTCAAGTGGGTACTATCTGCAAGTATGGGTGTTCTTGTGCAATCTTCTCTCACTTCGTATCAGCTGGATGCATCACACTCCACTCTAGTCCTCTGTGGCCATGTCACTGTCTCTGAGCCCAGGAGTCCCCAGGTCTCGCCACACTGCTGACCAACCACGTCTCAACCCAGGTGGACAGGATTCTATTTTTTTTTTAAAGTTTTTATTGTGAATTATGTGATAGTTTACATGGAAGAAAATTAGCTTTACAATCATCCTATCGTGTTTCGTTTCATTGCAATGATTACAATCCCCTCCATGCATCATTAAACAACCAAAGGGTACACCCTAAAAGCCTGCCTCCTGGCCATCAGCACACAGCCCCCTCTCCCTCCGAGTCCAGAGTCCCCGGCCGCTCCATTTCTCCACATCATCATCTCTACCTCCAGGTAGGGTCCCGCACTCTGCTCCTCTCCCTTAATGGTCCCAGGGTCCTCTGCTCCTGGACTGCAGTCAGCCACTCCCCTCTTGTTACAAAACATCTACCTTTACATTTTCAACCCTCACAATCAGTCTGGATAGCAATTATTCACTATTGTACCATACGAGTCTTATCCTCATCAGTCCCATCCAGGCAGATTGGAAGCCACTCAGTAAAGATTCTACCTTCCCCCGCACCTTCTGGAACTAGGTTCCCTCTTGAAAGCTTGTAAGCCAGTCACTTCTTGCCTTTGTAGCCCCTCCCCCCTCCTTTTTTTGGGTAGCCAATATCTAGATTGCCTATCTCTGTCAACCCTGCATACCGAGGGGGTGGGAATGATCCTCGCTGTAAAGATTTGTTCCCTCTTTTGAGCTACTACATCCATAAATATAGGTCAAGTTCATCAAATTGTAGCAGATTACTTTTTTTTCCTCTCTTCTTCTAGTCAAGTTCTGATTATCCAGCCATTGAAGCCAGGTCAAATGAATACTATCTACAAGTATGGGTATTCTTGTGCATCTCCCCTTACTTCATATCAGGTGGACGCTTCAGTCTCCACTCTAGTCCTCTGTGGCCATGTCACTGACTCTGGGCCCAGGAGTCCCCAGGTGTTGCCATACTGCTGGCCAACCAGGCCTCAATCCAGGTTCACAGGAGTCTATTGAACGTGGTTGGACTTAGCTCACAATTTCATTGCTGTTCTCCCCTCACTTCCCCTTATCGGTGACAAACATAGTCACCAGCCACACCACATGCCTGCTCGTGTACTCCTCTTGAGGCTCAGTCTTGGAAGAGGGTTTGCCCTGAAGGGACCCGACCACTTACTTTGATGGATTCCAGAACAACTTGCTTATTCTTGTAGTAGTCAATTGGACTGCAGTTATTGTTTTTGATTTTTCCTGCCGGTCTTTCTTTCAAGAAATATCTTTTCTTCTAGACGCTCCAGGCTGGTCTGCTTGTCCTTTCAAGTGGGAATTTCCTACCTCAGAAGATTCTGGATGGGGTTCAGCACCCCACCTATGGTTTTATGCAATGCAAAGGCTCCGCAGGAAGCCGCCTTCACTGGGCATGGTGTAGCCCCATTTTAGGTATTCCAATCAGTTATATGCTGAAGATAGACTTACAAGCTTTCTATGATTATGTTTCTGGCTATTCCTTTCTCTCCCACTCAAGTGTCTATTTTATAATGGTATGCAAGGGAAACCAAGATTCAAAAGACAGCCAAGCATCTTAACATCATTTCCCCTCTTTTACCCATTCAAACCATGCCACAATCCCTGTATCCCAGAGCCCTGTTGTTCCAAGATTGTGCATAAATCATTTACCTCTGTCCCACTCAGTCCATGCAGACCTGCCTGTTGTCCCATCTGCCTTGTTCTTCCATTCCCCTCCCCCTTCTTGTGTATTGCACCCCCCTACCCAGCACCCAAGCTATGCTGTGTCTATTCCCTACCCTGTGCTCTCCTCCCTCCCCTCAACCCACCCTATACGTCCTGCTCGTAACCATAAAAGAATTTCCCACCCTCCCTTTCTGTGTGGGTTCTTTTTCTTAATCTTTTACAATAATGGTCCTATGCAGTGTTTCTCCTTTTGTGATTGACTTATCTCACTCAGCATGTCCTCAAGGTTCTTCCATGTTATGCAGTGGCTTGCAGTTTGTTATTCTTCAAGGCAGCATAATATTCCATTGTGTGTATCACTGTTTATCCATTCTTCCACTGATGTCGCTATTGTAAATACTGCTGCTATGAACATTGGTGTGCATATATCTACTCGTGTTATGGCACGTATTTCTTGTCGGTAAATACCAAGTAGAGGAATTGCTGGATCATAAAGTATTTCTATTTCCAACCTTCTGAGAAAGTGCAATATTGCTTTTCAAAGTGGTTGGACCATTTTGCAATCCCACCAGTAGTGCAGGAGGGTCCCAGTGTCTCCGCATCGTCGCCAGCACTTATTGTCCTCTACTTTTTTGATCTTTGCTGTTATCACCAGTGTGAGATGATATCTCATTGTTGTTTTGATTTACATCTCTCTAATGGCTAGTGATTGTGAACATTTCTTCATATGTGTGTGGGCTGACCAGATCTCCTCCTTGGTGAAATGTCCGTTTATGTCCTGTGCCCATTTTTTAATTGGGTTGTCTTTTTCTTGTAGAGGTGTTGTAGTTTCCTATATATTTTAGAAATGAGTCCCTTGTCCGATGTGTCATTGCAAAGATTGTTTCCCATCCTGTGGCTTCCCTTTTTACTGTTTTGGTGAAGTCTTTTGATGCACATAAGTTATGAATTTTTAATATGTCCCAATCATCTATTTTGTCTACTTTTGTTTGTGTGACAGGAGTCTATTGAACATGGTTGGACTTAGCTCACAACTTCATTGCTGTTTTCCTCCCACTTTCCCTTATTAGTAGACCAGTGTGGTCAGCAGCAAGATCACAAGCCTGCTTGTGTATTCCCCTTGAGTCTCATTCTTGGAAGGGGGTTTGCCCTGAGGGGACCCGACTGCTTGCCTTGATGGCTCCCCAGTGAACAACGTGCTTGTTCTTATAGTATTCAATCAGATTGCTGTTCCCAATAACTATTTCTTAAACTGGAAGGAACGCTTATCATCTAATGAGTATTTGAAGCACATATGCATCAAAGAGAGAGAAAGGTGCCTCTTTTTCTTTATGTTGTGGGACAGAAGCCAGAAGAAAATTACCTGGAGATCTGCTATATTGGTATCCTTGGGGCTGACTCACTCAAGTATTTACTGAATGCCAACAAGGCATAAAGAATTATAGAAAGAGAGAAGAGATGATTCTCTTATATACGTGTTGTTGTTAAGTGCTGTCAAGTTGATTCTGACTCATAGTGACCCTGTATAGGATTTCCAAGGAGCTGCTGGTAAGCTTGAACCACCGACCTTATGGTTCAAACCAACTCTATAGTCGAGCGCATTAACCCAGTGCCACACCAGGACTCCCCCATATACATGGTGGTGGTGGTTATGTGCGTGGAGTCAGTTGCGACCCTGTACAGGGTTTCTGAGGCTGTAAATCTTTACGGGAGCAGAAAGCCTCATCTTTCTCCCACGGAATAGCTGGTAGTTTTTAACTGCGGGCCTTGTGGTTTGCAGCCCGATTCGTAACCACTACGCGACCAGAGCTCCTTCCCTATACACAGTCTTATGTATATACCTTAAGAATCACCTGAGGATCTTGCTAAAATGTAGATTCCAATTCAATAAATCTGAGGTGGAAATGTCAATTCTCAGCCGAGGAGGTGAACTGAATGAACCTGCTTGAAGCCCTGTATAACTGATATTCTCCACTATTCTCGCCGTCTATTCTGTTCCATCATTAACATTGGCTCTCTGTCCCTTAAAGTTCTCCTGCGTGCTTGACTGAGATTAACTGCTGTCAGTTTCCATTCATATAGATCATTCTTTGTACTAGCGCTATGTGTAAGGCAAAAATTATTTTTTAATTGGGCTAAGTGTAGTTTA